GTTGTCTATATAATTAAGCAAATTATTTTTAAAAATATAAAGTATTCAATAGACCAATAGACCAATAGATTATAATATTAGTTCATTAAAGTCCATTGATAGATCTATTTTAAATAAATCATATTGGTCAATTATATGAAATTTGATAAATAGAGAATCCAATTTGTCATAGCTCTAATCAAATTTGCAGATCATTTGATCGACCAGATTGGTTTTCCTATTGATCAAATTCCACAAATCGGCCGATATGCATAGTCCATTGCCAACCCTAATAGTGGGGAACATCTAAAACCATATAGTTTTTATAATAAAATTTTTAAATTAATATTACTTTAAAAATAAACCAATGCAAAAAAAATTTTATACAATTAATAGATTTTTAACTAAACTATAAATTTACAAAAAAAGGTTTATTTTTTATTTAGTTATGAAGAAGAAATATTAAATTAAGGTTATATATAACTTAAAAATTTAGCGTTTAATATAAAAAAAAAATAAAAAAACATATTTTATTAGCCAATAAAATTAATTTTAGCTTAGTTACACGGAATTCAACCAATAAAAAAACCAGATTTATGTTATAAGGCAGGTAAAAATTTGGCGCCTATATATGTTTCTAGGTGTCCCCACTGTATTATATTTCAACATAATCATATATACCGTATTCTATCAAAAATAAGCGATCATAGTAACAGCTGCTTATTTATGATAGGATCTTCACCACACTAATCCATCGATCAAACTACAGTAATAAATCTTTGGTAGACAATTTTACTTATAGAGGGTGCTTATCTACGATAGAATACTGTATTTACAAACTTCGCAACTTTGTACATATTTGTAATCAAATCATATATATATTTTATTTTATTTAGCTTTTAGTATTAACTTTTATGGTTAATATTTAGTATAGGTTATATGATTATTACATAATTATAATATATAAAGATAATTGATATATTCGTACTTTTTTTAATATTGTGCTAACTTTAAACCCTAAGAAAAATTCTAATAATTATATTAATTTTTTATTAACAAGTGTAGCAATATTAAAGAAGGATATAAAAATATCAACTTACTATAAAAATTGGTTATTTTGAACTAATTTAAACGAGTTTATAAATAATTAGAAGTTAGAGTTAGAATTTAAATTAGTTCAATTTAGTTAAGTTTTAGATTTATAATTTTTAAAAAAAATTGCTAGCAAAGATTCCAAATTCATAGTAAAATAATGACTAAAATAAATGTTCTTGTAGCATCGAGAATATTAGATTTTTGTATACGTAACATGCAGATGTTAAAACATAATGACAAATAAATTATTACAGAAAAGAACTCGGTGTTACGGCATAAGTCAGGAGTAAGTCAGAAGTTACTATATAAATAAGATATTATGCAGAAGTTAAATTTTACGACACAGGTCAAATGTTATGGCATATGTCAGTTATGGCCTTTGGACGCATTTCTTATGACTTCATCATAATGTCTGCACCTGTATTGAGGGTTTACCCGACAATCTTTATTCGAAGTCACATATAGGCCGACAAAAAAATCTGGCTACCATTTTTTGGGGGTTTCAGGTGTTTGGCACACGTCAGATGTTATAGCAAACGTTTGTTATGGCTTTTTGTCTTTGATTTACGTCCAATTGACGTTAAGATCAGTTACAGAACTAACTTATGTCTGCATCTATAGACATAACGAACTTTGAAAATTTTAAATTTATATTATTGAGTTTGTAACATGTAGATTTTGTATACTTAATAATTCAATATAATTTGAACAATTTAATTCATATTTGCAGTTCATTTTGAATCTGTTTGAGATTATTATTTGTTAAGTTTCTTTTTAGAATGAGGTCTACCGAATAATTGATTGTGAGGGCAATCATAACGTTTGCAAAATTATGCGAAATTTGATCATTAAAAAGTAATCACTAATTTCCGATTTTTTTTTGACAAAATTTGCGCATTTATCATTTGTAAAAATTTGATTGAATGTTTTTAATGCACAATTCCTATTACTGCAAATATATTTCTATAAAAAAAATTTTTTTTACAACATAATAAATGCGCAAATTTTGTCTAATCTAAAAATCAAAAAAAATATTTGAAGACATAATTTTGCAAACCACACAATTATTTGAACCCAGTCACAGAGTCAATTAATTGCAAATTTTGCAGTTGTTTGAAAAATGTAATGACTTGATAAAATATGTAATAATAAACATAGGTATGAGTATATTTGGAGATAAAACTTGTAATTTTTAAAAAAATATCAATCAAATAATCTTTTTTTTTTTTTTGGATTAAGATTGTACAAATCATAAGAATATTAATTTACATTCCTTTACAAAGATATGTATATAGTATAACATTTTAAATCTTTTTTTTTTAATTGATTCCAATGAATGCCAAAATGTTACATAGATGCCGTTTTAGACCTTCAAATGATGGCAGGCATTAGTGTGTTCTTCCAGATCATAGCCGATAATCAAAAAGATGCTTTTTTTAGACCTTCAAATGACAGCAGGCATTACTGTATTAGTGTAATTTATGGTTTTCCGATCCGATCATAGCCGATAATCAAAGAGATGCATCTTTTAACATTAGACCTCCAAATAATGTAATCATTAGCGTAATTTGCATTCTTTCGACGATGCCTTTTTTAGATGCCCTTCCAGCCATAGTCGATAGTGTTCTTCCAGAATATTTTACTTATAATATATTATGAGTATCGTATACTAATTTTATATACTCAAATGCGATTTTTGCAGTATGCTCCACTACTTTACTAAACCATGCACCACTGCTATTCGTAATACCAGGATTATTAGGCATTTACATTTATTTGATTCTGTTGACCAGGTTTGAAATTTTATCATTTTTATGCACGTGAGTTACGCACGTTGTCCGAATATATTTTAAATCCGGTACGAATTTAAAATAATTCGGATAATAAAAATAAAATTGGTAAATGCAAACTCCGATAAATAGAAAATGCGGTATATAAATAATATATATATTCGTTCCGGACAATCGCTCCGAACAATTATATAATTCCGGATTGCTGTTCTAGGTGAGACACATCATATTTTTTGTCATTACCCAAAAAATATTTGCGAAACGATACCGATAATTTTCCGTCTCTGTTCTGTCGCTCACTAGGGTACCCTGTGGATCACCCGGAATTACGGACCGATATCTAGTTATTTCTCATTGACGTTACGTAAAATACTTTTTCATTGAGGTTACTAATTTCTCATTGAGAGATTATATTAATAAAAATAATTAGTTATTGAAATTTGACTTCGCAAATTGAAAGAGGATTTAATAAAAAATAGAACTAACTATAAGGATCATAATAATAGCGATCTAAATAATGGAAATCAAGTACAGTCCGTATATGATGCAAAATGATGTTAGTGGTACAGCAGAGACAGTGCCCGATCCAAAGTAAATCCCTCTCGCCTGTGAACAATCACAAATTAAATTATTTATGTTGAATTCAATTGTGATGGATATAATCCCTCACCAGTTTTAATATATGTGCAACATTAACGGTCTCTGCTGTATGTTAGTGGGAGTTAAATACTATTGAAAATGAAATGAACTTTAGAAAAACTTCCAAAAAGACGTAGAAATATCGATATTATCTTGTTTATAGAGTAATTTGTCATTTTATTAATAATTTCAACAGTTTCATCAATTGTTTGAAGTTTGTCAAGTATGTAATATGACGAAATCTTTCGCCTCGACTATAAAATTTGTACTATCTCGGAACTAGTCAAGTAACTGGTATTTTGATATTCCAGGTAAAATGCAAAAGATTTAATTCTTGGCATATCGATTTAATGAATTTTCGAAAGCCAATTTATGAATTTTTTTGGGGCACAACAGATCCATTTTCGGGTTGAATGAATATAGATGTTACAGTTTTGTAGGAATCGAATTATAAATTATAGGATTCATTGTAATAACATATATTCTTGAACTATTAATTTAATACGTATCTACGTATTATAAAAAATGAAAAAAGAAATCGGCTAAAGATTTGGTAATAATTTAATATTTAATTCTCAGCCATTTGCATGTCAATGCTGAACGGCCGAATTTTTTTCTATTTTTTTTTTTTATTTCTTGAGGTTATGAATTACTAAACATACGTACATATGCATGCACTGCGTATGTACACGCATGCACTTGTACATACGTTACATACTTAAATTAATCTATAAATACGTAGTTGATTCTATGTATATAATAAATTATACATCTATACATCCCAATTTGCAAAAGAAAGCTGCGTTAGAAAGTAAAATATTTAAAATATTTAAAGTTGAGCAGATATTAAACATAAAGCCTACACCTGATGGTAATAATAATACATTTAGAAAAAGCTGACTATATTTATTTATACATCCACACTTATCACTATGTATTTCATGCCATTACATATAGAACAATTATCCGAATAAAGTGCAATATTTGTAACATTTGTAAAAAATTGATTTCCGGCATGAACAAATCCATTTGCCCGATTTAGTTAGTTTCGATAAATTGGAAAAGATCAGCATACTGCGTAAATATTTTCGAATAAATAGGCTAATATTTTGTTTTACACACCTTACAATAGTTTCTGATTTCTTTAAGGTAAGAATTTTTCGCGTTATTTAATAAGATCTCGTTGAAATTATCCTTAATTACATCCTGTTATCTTTTAATATTATAATACTAGTCTACTAAACATCCACGTTCCTTACAATTTTTTTTTGATCGGATGTTGAATAAAAATTGTGTTAATAAAGTTTAGAGTATCACTTTGTTTGAATTTTTGAATTTTTTTTAATCTTGGTCAACGATCAGGTGTAAAACAACAAAGGTTTCTCACATTATATCATTTGTATCAGATTTAAATTCTTGATTTAATATTAGTGCCATTAACTCTACCTCTTTAATATACTTTAGCAAATCCTGTATAGCTAATAAATTTATTTCATTATGCTTAATAACCATTTTCTTTGCCATGATCCGGATGGCTGGGTAAATTATTATAAGAATTCCTTCCTTTTTGTGCGTGCTTACAATAATAAATAATGCTAATTCTATTATATTCAGGGTCCATGGAGACCGAATATAACTGATCCCGATCTTGCTTTATGCTTCACCGAAGGGTATTCCATCTTTCGTTAATTTTCTTTATCTTGTAACTAGCCAAGTGGTGTTGTGTTAACTTGATGTCTCTGTGATTTTTTTGTGGTTTTTATAAAGGGTCTTCATCATGCCAATAAACATTTTAATGTTAACTTTTGGTTCTCTCGAGTTTTATCATCTTCTTAAAAAATCAGCTGTTATTCCAAGTCATGGATTACGAAATTGGCACTATTTTTTAGAGAGGGTATTTACTAGATTTTTTTTTAGTCAACTGTCCCACTTACATGTCGGTATTCTCGTTTAATTTATCTTTGTGGCTTCTTCAGATTGCTCTATCATCCCTCGTTATCCTCAGCATAATTATGTTGATGTTAAATCTAAAGTATAGTGAATGGCAAATAATGGACTTGTTTGTTATTTCTGCTATCGTTAACTTAGTTGCAATGGCAAGTAATAATTGGGATTTCCAAGTAATAATATGTATAATTAAATACTTATAAGATTCATTTACAGATCTTTGCAATGTTCCTTCAAAAAGCGGCCTATACCAACAGTCATTCTGCATCTTCTGTCTTACTGCTATATTGGCTTTTCTATATAGTCATAGAAGTTGTCAAATTGCGTACATGGATTAAAGTGGATTATTTTGGCATCTATCCTTTGCGATTTTACAGTTTTTTGGCATCAATTTTATTGGTCATGTTTGTATTTGTGTTGGAATTACTTCCTAAACCAAAGGCCGAATATGAGTTTATTGAAGATGATAATTCTGTGATTATTTTAATATAATTTCCATATTATTATTCTTTATAAAAAAAAAACATCAAATATTGAATTATCTACTCATAATTTCTCAGAAAGATTCTCCAGAAGAAAATGCCAACATTTTTTCACGGTTGACTTTTTATTGGATGACACCGCTGATGAAATTGGGTCACGGAAAATATTTAGTTCTTTCTGACCTATGGTACTAGTTGGCTTTTTTTTTCTTAGACAAAAATATAAGGGTGAGTCAATAGAAATCAATCAAAGAAATTTTTCTTAATTTTTTTTTGATTTTTTTAATTTATAAAATTTATAGAATTGATTTATCAATTTTGTCAAGTTATTATTATTTTTGTTCAACCAATTTTATTACAGAAAATTTGCTTGATTTCTATTGACTTATCCTATATACGAGTGCCGCTAAAGGGGAGCCTGTCATCGGGCTTTCAACCATATTTTGTATCAGACATAATCAGTCTAATTTGTTAGGGATTGTGTCCGATACAAAATATAATTGAAAGCCCAGTGATAATTCCTTTGGCAACACTCATATACACATATATACGCGTGTATTGATTTATATATGACTTATTTTCTTAGGAATTTAAGTTCTGAAGATCGAGCAAAAAAGGTTTCCGCAAAATTTGAAGCTGCCTGGCAAAAAGAACTATCAAAAAAAAAGTAATGCGTCTATTTTTTTTTTTTTTTTTTTGCAATTTGCAAGGTTAATGTTTACCATTATTTGCATCCTACAACATTATTTTAGTCCTTCTCTATTTAAGGCTCTCGTTATTTCATTCGGTGGGCCATTTGCTTTTGCTGCGGTAGGTTTTGTTTATATAGATTAATTATTTCGATTAAAAGCTCCATGTAGCACTCAATTTTATTTTTAAATACTTGTCAAATGCATGTATATATATAAAGCTCTTCAAAATTGTTCAGGATATGTTAAATTTTGTGCAACCTCAATTATTGAAGCAAATTATGATCTTTGTAAGCAACCAAAATGATGTGAACAAACCTCCTATGCTATGGGGTTATTATATTGCAGGTGAATATTAAAAAAAATATTGTACATTTATTCTTATTTGTTTGAATAGTTATTTATATTTCTCTTTGTTTAAAACAGCAATGATGTTTTTGACTGCAATTCTTCAAACCATGTTTTTACAACAATATTTCCACATATGTGCGGTGACTGGAATGAGGGTATTTGGATTTTTGAATGTGTATTTATTTATCTATCTTAATAATAAATATATATTTATTCGTAATTTATTTTTAAAAATTAGGCACGTGCTGGATTGGTAACCATAATTTATAAAAAAGCCCTTCGTCTTTCAAATAATGCGCGTCAAGGTTCAACAATTGGTGAAATTGTCAACCGTACGTACATTGTTATTTTAGAATACTTATTGTCGCGACTGCTGCTGAAATTTGGTCCTAATTTGATATGAATTTTAAAAAATTTTTTTTTCTTCGCCTTTTTTTTTTTTATAATTAAAGTGTATATGTAGATTTTAGCAGTGCTTATTTTCCAAATCATGACCCCAAATTTCAGCATCAGCCGCGATACTTATTTATTGCAAAGAAAAATATTAATCATTTTTCGAATTCTTATAGATATGAGTGTTGATACTCAAAAAATCGTGGACTTGAGCATGTATTTACACATTGCATGGTCTGGCCCCCTACAAATAACTATTGCTTTATACTTTTTATATCAAACCATGGGTGTGAGTGCATTTGCTGGTGTAGCTGTTATGATATTGATGTTACCCTTAAATGCTTTTTTTGCCTCCATCATGAGAACTTTGCAAAAAAAACAAATGAAAAATAAAGATGAAAGAATTAAGTATATGGCAAGTTATCTAAACTTATTTAAACTTAAAAATATTTTATTTTATCTCCATGAATTTAGTGAAAGTATTTATTACTAACATTATATTTATATGTTTCAAGAATGAAATTCTTAATGGCATCAAAGTTATTAAACTTTATGCTTGGGAATCTGCCTTTTTAAAAAGGGTAATTGTTATATTTTAGTTGTTTATTTTCGAATTTTAGTAGTCCTTATTGATATTTTTTTTATTATATTTGATAGATTGTTGAAGTAAGAAATAATAGAGAACTTAGTACCCTTAAAAAACTTGGTTATCTAGCTTCCGTACAGAGTTTTACTTGGGCTGCTACAGTAAGCATATTTTTTATACATCATTTTTGGTTAAAATTATCCATATATTTATATTTAAATTTACATATTTAATAGCCCTTCTTGGTGTCTTTTGCCACTTTTGCCGTTTATGTCATGATATCTGATAAACCGTTAACAGCTGAAGTTGTGTTTGTAGCTTTGGCGTTGTTCAATCTACTCCAATTTCCACTTGCTTTGTTTCCAATTGTAATCGCTGCCATTGTCGAAGCATCTGTTGCTATTGGTCGCATTAGTAAATTTTTGAAGGCCGAAGAACTTGATCCTAATGCTATAACTCGCGAACAATATATAAACACCGATTCAAACCATTCAAAAAATGGTGTAGAATTAATATCTGTTAAGAATGGAACTTTTAAATGGTCACAAAGTTCATTGACTCCAGTTTTAGAAGATATTAATTTTAGTGTTAGAAAAGGTGAACTAGTAGCTATTGTTGGAAAAGTCGGTGTGTTTTTCATTTTTTTTTTGACTATTATTTTTTTTTAACCTTACCGTATTTTCGCACATGCGCGTTATTTCGCGAAAATATAGTAATTTTAAAACATAGTTACAATTTAACATTTAATACGTTTTAGGTGCCGGTAAGTCTTCATTATTATCCGCTCTCTTAGGTGAAATGGAAAAAATATCCGGTGAAGTTACTATTCGCGGATACACTGCTTATGCGCAACAGTCAGGTAAATATATGCCTTTTTTTCTTTTTTTTTTTTTAGAATCATTCATTAATTGAATTTTCTGTAAATTTAGCTTGGATCATGAACGCTACTCTTAGAGATAATATTACTTTTGGACTTCCATACGATCCCAAATTTTATGAAGGTTATTTTCACAGCTCCTTCATATGTCAAATTATTGTCTATTCCTTTTACAGATGAAATTAATTTACTTGAATCTTATAGAGGTCATTGAAGCATGTAGTTTGAAACCTGATATAGAAATTTTGCCAGGTGGTGATTTAACAGAAATTGGTGAAAAGGGAATTAATCTTTCTGGTGGACAAAAGGCTAGAATCTCGCTTGCTCGTGCAGTTTACGCGCGTGCTGATGTTTATTTATTCGGTAATGATATGAATTTATATGTCAACTTAATGTTGTATAAGTTTTTGCCAACCATATATTATTTGTTTCAATATGCCTTTAGATGATCCCTTATCTGCTGTTGATGCACATGTTGGTAAGTCTTGACAATTTATTCTATTTTGGTCAATAATTCGATGTCTTCTTTTTACGAACGAATCGTGTTAAATAAATAAATAAATAAATATATATAGGAAAACACATATTTGATCATGTTATTGGTCCAAATGGACTTCTTCGGACAAAGGCTCGAGTGTTTGTTACTAATGGAATACATTTCCTTTCTCGCACAAGTTCGCTTATCATGTTGCGGGAAGGAAAAATCGTTGAACAAGGACATTTTGATACTTTGATGAAACAAAAACAGGATTTACACAGCTTAATTATTGAATATGGTCAACAATCTTCTGAAGATATTGAGGAAGTACAAAGTCCAGATATAGTAGAAACTTACGAAATTGATGAGTCAAATATTGACACTGAAGAAATTTCTCGAAGTCCACGAGAAAGACGAGTTAGTGTAATGAGTTTACGTCGGCGACCTTCTCTTCTTACTACTATTACTAATAAACCAGAAGTTGAACGTGGAAAGGACGCTCTTATTCTAAGTGAAGACATTATCAAAGGCAAAGTTTCATGGGATGTTTATAAGACATATATGAATTCATGCTCGTTTTCTGCAGTAGTAGTGTTTGTGTTCATGTTGATGATCTCTCAAAGCGCTCAAATCGGTGATTTGCCATTTAACATTTCTTCATAATTATTATACTTATTTTCTATTATATTAATCAATGATTATATATATATATATATATATATATATCTTTTTTTTTAGGCATGAACGTATTCCTTAAATATTGGAGTTCACAAAGTGATAACAGTAGCAATAGTTTGTTTTATTTATCTATATATTGCGCTATTGGTCTTACATATTCTCTGTTGACCATTATTCATACTATAATACTTTGGGTATTTTGTGCTATTAGGTAAGTTATACTGACATATGAGACATGTTACCTGTTCTTATTCGATAGATTGATTCACCTTTCTCTTATTATAGAGCCGCTCGTATTTTGCATGATAAAATGTTGAATAGTGTTGTGAGGTATGTTTAAATATTTCACCCGTAAATTATTTGGTGCATCATTTAAAAATCGCATTATGTATTATCTACCATTGTAATTAACTTAATTATATATATATATGCTCAAATTACAGATCTCCAATGTCCTTTTTTGTGAGTTAATACGGAATTCTTATTTTCTAATCCTGATATTTTCATAAAGATTACTAACTATGTGTCTAATTTTTGAATTTATAGGATACAACACCTTTGGGTCGCATTCTAAATAGATTCAGCAAAGATCAATACACTATTGATGAAGTTCTTCCACGTATATTTTCTGGATATTTCAGGACTTTGTTTATTGTTTTAGCAACAATAACTGTCATTTCATTTTCCACACCTGCGTTTATCTTTATTATTATTCCGCTGTGTAAGGATATAAATTTATTTTACTTTCTTTAGTCAATTTTGTTTAACTATATTTAAATTCTAACTTTTATATATTCATCTACTCAAGTATTCATATATAGATATATTCAATCGTATTATTTATCAACATCCAGAGAATTAAAAAGATTGGATTCTTTAACAAGGTCGCCTATTTATTCCCATTTTCAGGAAACTTTGGGAGGTGTCACTACTATTCGTGCTTATCAACAATCACAACGATTCATTATTGAAAATGAGACTCGATTGGACGAAAATCAAAAAGCCTTTTATCCATCTGTATCTTGTAATAGATGGTTAGCTGTTCGATTAGAATTTATAGGTAAAGTTCTACTTGACATGTTAATTTTATGACATTTATATAATGAGTGTAATAACCTAATTTCATATATGTTTTAAAATTTAGGGTCTTTGATTATTTTTAGTGCATCACTTTTGGCCGTTATTTCATCCGTGACCACCAACAGTATTGATGCTGGACTTGTTGGTTTATCATTATCTTATGCGCTTAGTGTTACACAGGCTTTGAATTGGGTTGTTCGACAATTCTGTGAAATAGAGGTATAATAATTTATAGAATTTATCTTATCAATCGTTAATTATAAATATAATTTATTTTAATTATTGTTAGACAAATATTGTATCGGTAGAAAGAGCAAAAGAGGTGAGACTTGAATTATCCTTTTTTTTTTTATGAGACATTTAAAATTTAAATATGTAGTATATTTACATAAAAGTTTTTTGATAGTATATTGATTTACCTAGTGAAGCACTTCTAGTCATAGATAATAATCGTCCTTCACCTGCGTGGCCTCAAAATGGGTTAGTTGAATATAAAGAGTATTCAACTCGGTATAGGCCTGGCCTTGAATTAGTATTAAAGGTTTGTTAATTGTGTAGTAGATATAGATTTATAGCAATTTTTATATCCAATGGTTGTCATCATATATTACATTATTTACATAGGGAGTGTCATTCGTGGTAAAACCAAAAGAAAAAATTGGAATAGTTGGAAGAACAGGAGCTGGAAAGTCTAGTTTAACATTAAGTTTATTCAGATTAATAGAGGCAGCTGGTGGTGCTATTATTGTGGTATTTATAAATTAATTAGTTTCTTTACTAGCAACAGGACTATTTTTAATTATCACACAATAATAGGACGGCATGGATATATCAAAAATCGGGTTATATGATCTTCGTTCACGTCTTACCATCATTCCTCAAGATCCAACTCTCTTCGAAGGTAATGATTATATTATATCCTTATTTAATCAGATTTATTTATATAATACATATTCATTAACATATATTCATTATAGGAACCGTTCTATTTAATCTTGACCCATTCTCAACACGCAATGATGTGGAGGTTTGGCAAGCACTTCAAAGTGCACATTTGAAAGATTATATCTCTCAATTAGATGACAAATTACATGCTAAAGTTTTAGAAGGTGGAGATAATTTTAGTCAAGGACAAAGACAACTTCTATGTTTAGCAAGGGCATTATTACGGTATGTTAAAGCTATGGAATCATGATAATTTTATAGGTTAAAAATCTAACTCTTTGGTTTAATAGGAGGTCACCTATTATTGTTTTGGATGAAGGTTTGTCACGTCTTAAACTATATGTTTTTAATCCTAAATTTACAATTTTTTTATACTGTGCATTGATTTAATTTTATTGATTAGCTACTGCATGCGTTGATGTTGAAACGGATGCTAAAATACAAAAAACTATTCGAACTGAATTTAATTGGGCTACATTGTTATGTATTGCTCATAGATTAAGAACAATAATAGACTACGATAGGGTAAGTCATAATGATATAATATCTAATAATAGTTTTAACTTGTTCATATCTAAATTTCCTTCATGTATTTCTTTATGTACTCTAGGTTTTGGTTCTCGGTAAGTTGTAATTTTTATAATTTCAATTATTATCAAAATAATGATTACGATTACTCATACCTTTTTTTTCTTGATTTCATTTCAATAGATCGAGGAAAAGTGGCGGAATTTGATACACCATATAATCTACTTCAAAATAAAAGCAGTGTGTTCCGACATTTATGTGAAGAAAGCAATGAATTTGATTATTTAATGGATATGGCTTCAAAAAAATTTCATTCCACCTAACACCAAGTGAAAAAGAATAATTTTGATCCAAGTTTTTATAGAATTAATCTGAGTTACTTTTTACAGTAATGACGACATCTTAAGTTTAGAAGAGTTAGTGATGTTTTGATATTGGGTATAGAAACTAGGTTTTGTATTTACTCTTAGAATACCATTCGTCTGTGATGTATATGTAATTTTTAAATAGTATTTTTGTTTAAGAGAACATTAATATTAAAAAAAAACCTTTATGGAAATATGTATATATTTGAATGCTTGTAGTCTAGTGCTTCCCCCTTGATTCATCTTACAGGAAAACTTGCCCCCAAATTGACATAATTAGTGATCGAGCTATCAAACTATATCTATTGGATCATAATCTATATCACAGCTACACTAATGTATAAAACCCACTCGCATTTAGTGAATAAATATTATAGATCGGTTAGAGTGAAATTCACGTTTTATTATTCAATTTGGCATATTATATGTTTCACGTGATTTTTAATTTACAAGTTTATGTAGTGGTGTGAAATTTTTTACATAGCTAATTTCTACCGGTAGCTACCAGTAGGTGTTAGTTACCGGTAGCTACCAGTAGATGTTAGTTACCGGTAGATATTAGACACCCGATTTGTATCCGGTATCTGACTAGAATTCTGAATTTATTCGGATTTGTCGGGTTATCCATAGGGATTTTATATGGTCTGGTCTTAGACCACAGTTAGTCTTAAGACCAGCATAAACCCCCAAAAATGTGTCTGCTCTAAGTCTTAAGACTGGACAGTCTGGACTAGTAAAGTCTTAAGACCATAATAGACCAGACCAAACTTGAACCAAAATTAACCGTTAACATCCCTAACTATCTGGATATCAATAGTAAATAGATATCGAGATAAATTCAGATGTGGATAAATGGTAGCTACCAACTCACATCACTAGTTTATGTATTAGTGACACCCAAATAAATTTTTTCTCTTCTGACTGGCTAATTTCCCTTTTTTGGATTTGTATTACTCGCACGCACAAATAAGTACACTTAATTAAAATGGGAATAGCCAATTAGAAAATGTAAATTTTGACTATTCTGACATAAGATCCGAACACATATTGCAAACGTTAACCTGTTTCCGTAACCTCTAATTTTAAGGCCCTAACCCCAAATTTGTATTTTCACGCACTTAGTGTTTATTTACGAAGTCAGATTTCCTTTTTTGGTTTGTATTACTCGAGAAAATAAATAAGTAAAACCGGATTTGAGTTACATATTAATAACATCTTTCTCAGCTACGATGACTAGTTCGACAAAAAAGTGAGCTAATTATCGAATAATTAAAATGTTTCTATTTTCTCTATCACTTTTACTAAAACGCACCGATGGTGTTTTATATCTATGAATACATTATCTAAAAAACTGGCTAATTAATCTGTACGAAAATTCTAAGTAAAGATGTTCTATGCCCCCAAAACCCTTCCCGAATCTTAATTATAATTCTAAATACTAACCTTTAATTTGAAAATTTTTACGTTAAAAATTTTTATATACATAGAAAAAATTTAGAAAAATCTATAAAATATAATAAAAACATATGAATAGATGCCAAACCACCATAAGTGCGTTTTATAATAAATGTTCTCTATTTATTAATAATGAGTTTTTTCTAGGGTTCCATCATCTCAACAAGAATTAAGTAAATATAGCTTCTGTTATTGATTATCAATAATAAAATTACTAAGTCATAACATCTTTAAAAGGTGAAATAAGTCATCGACTTCGACAAGAATTAGTAAACAGTTCAAATGATCAGTTGTCTCAAGTAACTCGTGTTTTATCACAAACAAGCAGTGGGTTGGATAAAGTTGACAAAATTGTTGAGGTTTATTATTTATTCTTTTGTTTGTAATTTTATTTTAATGATCAAGGAATTAAATTTGTTTCTAATTTTTTTTAAAGGAAACACGCGATAATATAAAAGCAATTGAACGAGATTTAAAATCTATGAAACAGCTTGTATTTAAGCTAGATCCAAGTTTTGTACCTGATGTTAGAGGTGTAAACAGCTAGTTAAATTGAACCAATTCTTTGCCTTGCAGAGGTAATCTGTGGTTCTATCAAATAAAAGTCAGTTAAATTTCTAAAAAAAAATTTTTGACTAATAAATTTTTAATCAATCAAAATACAAAAAATCAAAAATCTTAACCAATTAAATGCAAGAAGCCACAAAGACATCAAAATTTAATACCGTATTCTATCGTAAATAAATATAATCCCTACCCCATTTTTTTAAATGTCAGATTAGCGGAAATCGCAGTAAGATTTTTAGACAAGTTATTTCCACTAATTTGGCATTTAAAAAATGAGGCAACTTATTTCTTAGCACATATAATTTACTCATTTATTTTTTTTTTTCTTTTGTAATTAGAGTTCCAATTTGAATAAATTCGCATCCATTTATCCACATCTGAATTTTAATCTGACAAAGATTCGAATAATTATCCGGATATTAATAGTAAAACTAGTGATGTGAAAATTCCAATTTTTTCACATTTCATGCGCATCATGTGCATAAATGTACATGGGAATTTTTTGGAAACTTTTATAAGTTTTCGGAAGTTTTTGGAACCTATTAAAAATTCCGGCTCATATTATAGGGGCTTTTAGCATTAAAATACATATAAAAAAATCATATGTTTTTTTAAATATTAAAAGTGAGTTTATGTTTTAAACTTTATTAAAATTCAATTAAAGTTTTTACAAAGAAAAGGTTGTTTTTAAATTACATATGAAGAATAAAGATTCAGACATATAATCTAAGATCTAAACTTACAAGAATGGTCAAGGCTTATCTAAATTAGGGTTTGGGTAATAATATAAGAAAGAATAGTATAATATTTAATCTATTAGATAGTTCAAAGATCAATTTTAGTAATAATTTGTGGTATTGAAATAAAAGATAAGGATAGATTAGAAAAAGAACTATGAGGTAAGTTAATAAAATATGTAATTTGAGACTGTGCAGAATATGAAATACAGTATGAAATTCATATTTATTTGTATATTTATTGGTTTAAATAAAAAAAAAGCTTAATAAAAAGAGAAATAGCAGTATAATAAGAAATAAAAATATTGTAAATAATAGAAATAAGGTTAGTAGAAACTAGATCAGATAGAGTAAAGATAAGAAAAGATATATATAAAAAGTTGTGTAATTTAAAACTATTAAGTATAAGAATTTTTTTATACAAATTAGAAAAAGATTAGCAGACATGTTAAGAGCTATTATATTTAAGATACTATTAAGAAAACTAAAGATTAAGTGATAAATTGTTTGAATTAAAAAACAGATAGTTTAATAAAATGAAGAATTAGTTTGGTTATATTGGTGACAAGTGAAAGAATAAAAAGAGTTACATTTGTGAATAATATAAAGAATAAAAAGTTCATTTGTAAAAATTTTAATTCAAAAGATTTTTAAAGTAAATGAATAAAAGTTATAACAAAATTTGAGATTTTTTAATTATTATTAATATAAAAACATATAGTTTTTTAGTTAATATTAGATGTGATAATAGATTATTATTGAAAATGATGCTAAGATATTCAAGTATTATATAGTTTAAATAAAATGTAAATAGCAATTTTAATAAAAAATTGGTCAATAAATAGAATATAAATAAGGTTATAAGAATTATTGGTTAAAAACATTAAGTAAGATAATATTTAGTAATTATAAACAAGTTGATTAGCAAGGTTATTAAATAGATTATTTTGATATATAGTAACTTTATAAAAAGTTAAATAGTATAAAAATTAATAAAGTTAATAAGAGTTTATCAAATAGAAAATATAAAGTATGAGTATAAGAAAAAGTAGATGCTAATTAGCAAATATTATAATATTTAGAGTTTATTAATTATAAGTTAATAAATATTTAAACAAAGCAGTGTTTAAGAGCAGTAATAATTGCTAAAAAAATAGTAAAAATTTTAGTTTTAAAAAAGTATGATCAAAGATTAACTTATGTTTAAAATAAGTTAATAATTATATAGTTTTCAACTTGAATTTAACCTATAATTATAGAATATTAAAAGATACTAAGATCAATAATAGAACTATTAGTATAAAATAAAATAGATATTAAGTTATAATTTGAATTAATATTAGTAAAAAATTATCAAAAAATTAACATAATTCAAAAATAAAAGATAATTATTGTAGATTAATCATTAGTAAAGAAGAAGATAGAATATATAAAGAATATAAAAAAGTAACAGAATATACAATATTAAGAAAATTTATATGAAGGTTAAGAGTTTGGTCAGAATTGATATAACAAAGTAGTTTAGTAACCAACTTAGTAGAAATAAAAATAGTGTATTTGTTAGTAATTGTATTTGAATTAAAATAGTATCTAGTACATAATATAATAGTAGAAAAGAAAATAAAATAAAGATTAGAAAACTGAAACTGAAATAAGCAGTACTAGTAAATAATAAGAATAAAACTAGTAAAAATATTGTATCTTCTGATTTTGCTAATAATTATTTAATTATTGAAAACAGTAAATAGCCAAAGTTTGATATTAGAAATGAAGTGATTAGTAAAATAACAAAACTAGTTTTTTTTTTTTTTAATATTAAGATGAGTACTTGTAACCCAGGATTTTATTGATAGTATATTTGGCTAATAGTTGCATTACAACTACAAAGAATAATCATAAAAAGAGTATACAACTAGCCACTCATACAACTTTAGTCATTGTCTAATTTAAGTAGTTCACCTGAAGGTTCTACACTAGTTGCTATACCTGGAACCTGCTTGTAAGTTTCTTATTTAATCACTTTAGTTTCTATCTCTATCCATTTACCTTTGTCTATTAATGACTCTAGCCAATGTCAGTAAAAATATGCTATAGCTACTAAGTCTTTAAAGCAGTTTATTTACATGAGAAACCTTTGAATTTGTACTAAACCTTTCAGAATCTTCTGTATCTTATTCTTATAGCTAATCTGGTATTACTATAGCTAAGACCAACACTGGCAGTCAGGGCATGCTATTAAACTGTTATGCCCTTGTAGAGTTCATCTCAACCCTAGTACTAACTTCACAACATATTTCTACTACTTTGGTATTCAATTCAAGTTCCACTAAGCTCCCAAACTAGATAGTCTAAAAAGGCAGATTATAATTATACACCTTTGGTTTACATGTTTGTTAGCATGTAACCTTTTTCTTCAGAATGGATTCCAGTAGCCAGGTTGGTTCTATTTAGCCTCTTCTCAAAGGCTAGCTTTTTGCCTAGTTTTACAAGTTCTAGTTCTGTTTCATAGATCTAGTCTTTACAGTAGTACTGTCAAAGATTTGGGTTATCTCTCTACTTAGGTCTTCCAAGTGGGCTTCCATCTTCCTACCTGGTTCCTGTGATTTATACAACCTAAGAACTTATCTTGAATTTACACTGCTCAGTACCAGTTTGTGTTCTTTTGTACAATATTACATGAATACCTAGACCTTTCAGTTATGCTGGTATAATACAGGTTACAGGTATTTTATTCCAATCAATCATAGAAGACAGTTAATCATAATGCAAAAAAAATTGCAAATTTTTGCTATTACTAGAATTTGAACTCTAGACCTGCCAATTTAGGGTTGACAACTTATTCACTTCACTAGGTTGCTACATCTCCATAATAAAAATAGTTAACAGAAGATAAGTTATAATAGTTAAATAGAGTATGTTGATAAGAGTAACTTGTAATAATATTCTCAAGAGTAGCAAACAATTAGGGTATAATATCTTTAAGAAGTTTGTTAAGTTTAAATAAAATGTATTATTAATATAATAAATATAAATTATTATAATAGTAAGTTGATTCAGAAAAAGAAATTTGTAAAGTTTAAGTTGTTTTTTGAAAATTAAATATTTAAATAAGAAAAAAAAAGAAATTCAAGAAAAATAGTTTTATCATTTAGAGTATAAGAAATGTTGTAGGCTAGGCTAGTTGAAAAAGTTTAGCTTATATATTTAATAAGTTGTATTATTTTAAAGTTTATAGTTAAATAATTAAAACTATTAATAATTGGGTTAAAATGCAGAAAAATTTTATTTATTTATTTTTTTTTTAATTTAAGCAGTCATACTAGTATTTTATTAGAATTCTTGAAACTATACAAATTATATAGAATTTTTCTAATAATTAATTCTTGCATCACTTAGCTACCTTATTAGTACCTAAGTGCAACCTGTCACATTACCTCAAACAGAGATAGACTGCTCATCTGATATTATCCTATAATAAAATATTATCAATCTAATAACATCTTCTTATAAAAAAGCAAAAAAACAAAAAAAAGCTTTTATATATAAAAAAAACACAAAAGCATAAGAATAAACAATAAAAGATACAAAACAAAAAATAAAAAAAAAAAAGATAAACAAAAAAAAAGAAAAATATGAACCTTATAATTTATAAAAAATTAGATAATTATAATTTTATGTCTGTGTTGAGCATAAAACTATAATTCATAAAGATTAAACAATCACAATTATGAGCTTGTGCTAGGCTTTTAAAAATTATAAACTATACTAAATAGAAATTATTCTATTATTTTTTTATTTACTTATATTATTTAACAAAAAACTAAAAAGAAAAAAAAAAAAAAAAAACTTTAGGGGTGTGGCGACCTAGTGAAGTGGTCAGGTTGTCAACCCTCCAAGTAGTAGGTTGGGTGTTCAAATCCCATCAACGGTGAAAATTTGGATAATCACCTATATAATATTCGTATTATGGCAACTGTTACTAACGATTGGGTTAGAATACCTGTAATGATGGTCACACCAGCATGACTGGTAGGTAATAGGGCATTCGTGTAACAGGTCACATGACATTGTTCTTTGGGACAAGGTTGTGGTTACATGAAGGAATGCAAACCGGCAATAGGCGGTGCAAACACTAGATAAGTCCTTGTGGCCATGTAAATCCGTTGAAATTGGG